CTAATAATCTGGCCCATTCTCAGATCTGTCCGGTAATCGTTTGAAGTGAGCGAAACCGAAACTACTCATGGATATAGAGAAAGAATGAGACGTCCTGAGCCCCTGTAAAGTTGTACAGTTGCACGACAGTGTGTGAGTACGAAGGGAAGCAGTATATTTGTGCTCGTTTAATCCCCTATACGCCAACTCTTCCAAGAACTTGTTTTGGAGGGCTGGACGTATTTACCGGCGCTAAAGATGGATCTTTGGGAACATATAGTTAATAGTCTGTTTTTTTTTCTCCTTTTTTACATAGACATGAACGAGGAAAAATGATCGTTACGGCGTCTGTCCTGTCAGCTTCTCCGAAGTTTTAAATCGTCCTAACCTACAAACATAGATCGCTGGTGAATACAATCGCGAAAACAGTTGGTTTGGTTTCTAGGCTAAATTACCGAGCGTAATAATGCGCCCCGCTATATCACGCTTCCAGTTTATTAAGTTGATGCTTTTTTACTTGTTTTATTGCCTTAAGGAGGATATCTCACTTCCACGTACTGGTAGACTCTGCATTTAGGAATCCCCCAGGCGTATATACTCTCTCCTGAACATATATACCCCATAACTTGGTGTAAAATGGTGCTATCGGGTGTATATGCATGTGTATGAATAGCGAGGACGCTGAAGTGAAACTTCTGGTATAGTTACACTGGGCCGAGCTCTGACTGAACTATATATAATAAAGCGGGGTGGCTAATACTTTATATTTACAGGATGTGCCGGCATTTTTACTTACAAGGTGAACTTGTTTGCTAGCTGGATGTGCGTCTTGAACCAAGAAAAAAATGCGGTAAGAACGAAAACGAAGCACATCAGGAAAGAACAACGCAACATAAACGAAGGGCTGATAACCAACTATTGACAATCAGCTCTGACTATCAAGCAGAGTTGAGCTTGATAGTCAGAGCTGACTGTCAGAGCTGACTGTTGAGAGCAACGCCTGCCCCGCTGTCTAACTCGCATACATTCAGTATGTTTAAGAAACTGTGAGCTAGTTAATTACTTGTGCGCAATAAACTCGCAGACCGGTGGGTAAGCCTTACGGCTTTGCAGGAACACATTAAGTGCATGTCATGCTATATCTGTCATATAAGTTACTTCAGCCAATGAGAGTAATGGCTCTTGCGCCCCCGAGGCTGAAAGCAAACTTTTTTTAGTTATTGTTATCGCGCGCTCTAAACAATTTTTATTCTTGACCGTGGGTATTCGCGTGTTTCGACGTTTTGACAACCTGATCCTTGTCGAAACGTCGACATCTGTTTGTGTTAGACCCACTCCTGCGTTTTCTAAACTCAATGGTGTAAGAATACATTTCATTCAGATGCTGTCCTTCAAAAGAAATCATACTCACGTGCTTCTGGCAAAAAAGTAGATGGGAATGCTTATGTAAGCATACCCAATGCACCCCAGGCCAATAAACGAAAGCACGACAAGCAAAATGGGAGAAATACGGCCTTGTTAGGAAGATATTAGACAATATTTAGCGCTAAGTGACATGAGAACGTGTTGTGTTCTCCCTTCTCGTCCTTGTGTCATATTGCGCTAAATATTGCGTAACGTGACAAGCATCCACGTAAACCCCCGCTTGCTTGAAACATGTTTAACAATAAGTACGCCACACAATCCACTACTACGGGGCCATACTGATGTATTCACGAAGCTTTTCGTTGGCAAGCTTCCGCGTTTATATTTTTAACATTTCTAGCACCTGCTCTTATACGAATCGCTCTATAGCGTCAACACTGCGTGCGTGTGAGGCGTAAATAGTTGTCCATGACCATGTAATGTACGGCGCGAGTGCTCGCATAGCAATGTCGTTAAAATGGACATTGCTCCCAGCAAGACGAAGTTCCCACTGCTGAACATTTAGAGACCAGCCCAAGCACGTAACCGACACTAGGGCGTCTTTATAAACCCACTATATGCAGGTCTGTTTTCTTTCTAGTTTCGCTTTCGAGATATGCTATCGCTAAGAGGACGCCGTCGCGAATGTTCTTGGGTGCTTTGTAACGTGAGGGTCTTACAGTACCGTGTATAGATATATGTATATATTATGGAGTACGTGGGGATCACATTGAGGATTTAAATGCAGAACTGTGTAGCCCATATGCGAGCCTCCAACGCTTGTTGCGGTTGTCGCTCTCTCTCTCTTTCTGTATTCGGAAATGCAGGCCTTGGCTCTGCCGTCCAACTGTATTTTGTGTCCTCTGAAAAGGGACGCAAAGTATGTTGGAAGAACGCACACTTACGCAAAGAGCGTTCGCGCTCTTGGTGTACTTCACAGCGACAAAGAAATGCAGTTTTTAAATTACCATAACTGACGTGTATTAGTTGTGTAATAACTGTACATCTGCGAGCGTAAAAAAAAGTTGATTTGACAATTCTGAAGCAAAATAGTTGAAATTCAGTGCCTGTCTGTACTTTGTTCGTGTGATTTCATCTTCCGTCCATTCGTTATTCACGAAACCCAGTTTTTTAAGAAGAACGCAATCACTATAGCATGGGGTCTAAATTTTGTTTGAACATTTATATCACAATAAAACAACCATTTTTTACGCAACAGTCGGCTTCATAACGATCGAATTTGTTTTATGATTATTTGCAGTAGCATACTGTTATTTGTGCAAATTACGAGACGCACATCGGGGTAATGCTTATAGTGTTTTTGGGGCTAAACAGCTGAGCTAGAGGTCATGTCTCAATGGCTGGCGAAAAGAAAAGCAAAACGCTTGTGCGGTTGGATTTAGGTGTACGTTCGAGGACACCAGCTAGCCGTTTTCATCTGCAGCATCACTCATATACAGATTTCTTTTTTTCCCTCTCTTTCTTTCGTGTAAAGCTCCAGAACGTAACTTACAGTCGATCGTGTCGCATGACAACCGAACTCTTCTTAAATTCGGCCGATGATGACTTTATTTATTCTTTATTTATTCTTTATTCAGTGAGTACCCCGCTTTGCTCAAAAAGGCGTTACAGCAGGGGGGTTACAGACTGGAATAAAACAATTCTTCGTTTATACAGCACACTTGCTCGTCTTGCAGCTGGTTCCAATCTCTAATGGTCATCACAAAAAAGGAATTATAAAACATGGTCGTTCTTGCTCGATACTCTTTCACTTTGCGTCGGTGGTCATGTCGACTAGATATGTAGCTGGGTTCACTGAAATAGTTATGACGGTCAATTTGGAACTATAATATGTAAAAGTGTTGGGGTTTAATGTCCCAGAAACCCGGTATAACTACGAGGGATGCCACAGTGGGGGGCTCCGGAAAACTTTGACCACCTGGGGCTCTTTAAACATAAGGTTTCATGATGAAGCTGATGAAAATCGACGCAGATGGCGATTCCCTTACTGGCTTCGCATCCAAACACGTAGTCTACGTAATGACATATGGCAATGTGTTGAAGCCCTTGTGAGACGTGCATCGGGAGAACTAACACGAAACTTGTTCATGTAAAAATTGTTGTCTTTTGCGTCGGTAACAGTACACATGCTTTTTAACTTAAACAACTGAAATAATAATAATAATAATAATAATAATAATAATAACACCCCGAGTTTTACGTCCGAAAACAACGATATGGTTATAAGAGACACCATATAGTAATGGACTCTGGAAGTTGTGACCATCTGGTGTTTTTTTCACGTGCACTGACATCACACAGGGCACGGGCCTCTATAGACCATTTCGGCACCACCGAAATGCGACCGCCGCAGTTAGGATGGAACGCGTGATCTTCGGGAGAGCAGCCGATCACCGTGGCCGCTATACCACCACGGCAAACACAAGTGGAAGAACTTAGTATAGCCTAAGCCTTAATCATGACAGTTGATGTTTGCATGTGTGCTGTGGTATTTCTACTGTGCATCGTTATGAATTTGATGTATGTGCATACTCAAAGGTGCCCATCTGTATATTTGTATTTTTTTTTATTTCTTCTGTATCTGTATACGTGTTACAATGGGAATGAGGTATACGTTTGGTTGCTTCTTAGCCCCGTGCCCCGTGTGCCTTTGTGTAATTGGCTCTGATGCCGCCTATATACCTTCCCATTTGTCTAAAGCTAGGGCATGACAACATAACACTGCATTCACGTCCCTCTATTCTTCTTCTTCCTCCTCCTTTCTTCTTTTTTTTTACTTGTTGAGACAGCCTTCTATATACACGGTGGCAAGAAAGCTGTTTTTGTCTTTTTTTTACCCCTCGGAGTGTTTCCTTTTTGCAATCATTATAAGCGTCTTTGTGGCTTGTGTTAATCTTCAGTATAAATTATTTTCGCTCATTCGCTGAAGAAAAATAGTTACATATGGGTGTGCACTAAATAACTTTCAAATCTTATATTGCAAAGTAAATGTAAACTGTATATCAATTAACGAGAATTTCAAATTCCACAAGTACAATTTCTTCCACAGGTCGTTAATATCACTTCCTTTTTTTCTTCTTGCGTCATACAAGCTCGTGATTCACCTGTCCTTCTCAGGTTCAATAAATGAACAGTTACACGACTATAATAAAAACAAAATTGATTTCATGTGGACTAGGCGCCATTTGTTTGTGTTTCGTTATTTCCGTGCTTTCCGGAGACGAGTACTTTATTTTAGGTTTTTTTTATTTGAATTATGCTTAGGTGATACCAAAAATATGTTCCACGTCGTAGCCAATGTGTATAGGCGTGTGCATGGAGGGGGGGGGGGGGAGGTGCCCTAGGGGAAGGTGGGGGCAAAATCTGCCTTATACATTGACGTAGAAGGCGGGGGGCGCTGCAATGAACCTTAGCCTCCCTTCCCCCCCCCCCCTCCAACGGAGAACCCTGCGCACGCCTATGTTAACGCGTCATAGCCGGCCTCAGATACGTGCGAGTGCGTGTGCGTGTGTGTGTGTGCGTGTGCGTGTGAAGTTATATGAGGCCACTAAAGAAATGTAACCACCCGCATCGTTTTCCTTATCTTTGTTGCGCAGCCCACGTGGAAACAGGCAGCAATGGCGTCTGCACATTCCTCCTCACAGCCATATCTATATTTTTTATCGTCTTGACGTTTCCCCTGTCGCTGTTGATGTGCATCAAGGTACGTTCCGTTTTCTCGTTTGTTTTTTTTTACTTAACGGTGACTCTGGCGTGACATGAATTGGTTTTGATAACTTCAGCAGTGATAAGGGTAAACATCTCTATGAGTAGTGCGTAAAGGAATGTTCTACCATGTAGTCGATACATCAAAATTTCTCGTGTGTGGTATTGAATTGATAGTATGTATAATAATCTGAAAAAAAAAATTCTACCTTTTCACTTTCTTTTTTTACTTTTATAGTCAAATGCCGAGTAGTCGGCACTTTACGTAGTCGGATCCTCGGTTTTATTAACCTTCTGTAACCAACACGGGGTGACTCCAAATACGCACGGATAACTGTTTTAACTATAACCTTTTAGTGGTAAACCTTTTGCGCATGTTGAACTGTCGAAAAAAAAATTACAGCTTAAGAGTAGACAGGCAAGGAGAAGCGAGAGAGAGAGTAAAATGAAGGAAAGGCAGGGAGGTTAACCAGAAATGGGAGCATCCAGTTTGCTACCCTGCCCTACGGTAAGGGAGAATGGGGTAGAACGATGGGAAAGAAAGCGCAGAGTGAAATAGACTCGCGAAAAAATAAAAAAAGTGAGCTCGGGTGCTATAGCCAATTCATTGGCCACTACCACGCAAAATGTTCAATAAGGCAGGCCTTCACTGATTTTCTGTGCGAAGACAGATCATGTCGCCTTTCAAGCACTGATTGTTCTGACAAGGAGCTGTCGTCCAGGTGAGCCAGCACAGCAGCTAGCTGCCGTCTTTGCACGCTGTAACGAGGGCAGTGACAGAGAACGTGCTCTCGTTCCATCGCTGCCGCAATGATCGCAAGCAGCACTGTCTTGTTGTGCATAGTGCCGAGCGCGTGTTTCTAATAAGCCGACTAGGAAGAGCCATGTCACAAGCGATTGCGTGCCTGTGTGGGGGAGGAGAACTACGTCTGATGGGAGAGCCGACTGCTTGCAATAAACGTTAATTGCGCAAAACAGATTGAAGTGTCGGTAGGTGAGGTACTAGTGCTACAGTGCCTTTTGCTGTTCGCTGGGCTTGGTGGCTTGTCTGCTGGCTATTCCTTTCCGTGCCAGCAAGCCAGGTCGCCCGCTGCCCGTTTTAGGGTATTTGCCCCAATTTCTGGGAATATACGTGTGCAGTCCGGTCTCCGCGTCCCAGGTAGATGTCGTCGGGTTGTGTGTGAATTACACTGTGTGATCTGGAAAGATGTGCTTATACGTATGTTTGTAATCAGCGCCAATCCCGAGCCTATATTCCCCTGTAAGGTCCGGGTGTGGATTACCATATTTCCGGTGGTCGCGTCGTTGGTTTTCAAGGATACAGCGCGAGTTAGTCGGTGTTTCATCGATAGCTTTTGTCGGGACTGAAACGTTCAAGGTGCTGCCTACCAGATTCGCCATTTATTTTTCTTCGTTTTCTTGATCTCGTAAGCGAAAATTTTGAAGGCCACATTGGCCACGTGTTCAATCAAGTATAGGCAGTTGAACACATGGGAGCGCGTACGGACCAAGGCTGACTCTATTATCCGATCTTTATCTTTAATGGCTAGGGCAACTGCCGCAGCTTCTGGCGTACTCGGTGATCCTGCTTTGGTATAGACTGTTATTGTCGATCGTTGGCATACAACAAATAACTGTGATTTTTTATTTTATCTACGTCTGAGCAGATCGTTCCGGGATGCGCGCTCTTGTGTATTCTTAGCCCTTGCCTGCCTCGTAGCGTGCCGATATCTATAGGCTTCACGTGTTTTTGGTATTAGAGAGGCTACTATTTTTTTTCTGCATCACCCCGCGCATTGGGGAGGGTTATGAGCTCGGGTCGTAAGCGCACGAGTTGGGCCGTGCTTGCTGTGGTGATATTTGGCATTGCCCTATGAGATATTATTACCGCCGGGCATGCAGCGTGCCCTTCGTATACTTATTGTGCAAACCTGGTGCCCCTAGTCGGTCTGTGGCGGTATTTTTAGGCATAGCCCAAGAGCTGTTTTTTACGCCCTGCATATTAGGATGTTAACGACTCAGTGCTGGTATGGCTTGTTGTTACGTCACTCGGTCGATTATGAAAGCTTGCATGTAGGACAACAAAAAAAACAAAAAAGAAATCGCACGAAACAACTGAATCGTAAAACATATGTATCGGTGACACTGCGTTGCTTAAAATAGCAACGAATAACGAAGTGAGTGAGGAATCGGTGAACATTCCTACACTAAACGTATCTAATGAAACGTTAGCATCGAGTGAAGCGATCTATAAATATCACGTAAAGCGGTGCCAGCTGAAACTAAGCATCTTGCGAGGTACCGCTTGTAGTTATACAACCACCGGTGTCTCGTACTATGTATGCATTATAATGTTACCCTATTCTATGCAGAAATGTCAACAGCTTCTTTATTGTCAGTTTTAATAATTAGGCAGAATTCTTCGGCATTTGTCAGTCGGATAATTCACCAGCAGCCGCGAATAGGCATCTATGTATGCATGGGAGTCTCGGCAGGGGGTGTTAAAAAGGGCAACTGCCCCACGCAAGCCGCACCAGCACGTCCCCGCCCTCAAAGCCAAACAAGCATTACCCCCCCCCCCCTCCCCTCAGCCGCGAAGAAACACAGGTTTGCATCCCCCCTTCCCCAGCTCGAAGTGCTGCTCATAATTGCAGAGAGTTTGGTAGTTAGTATTGGTTGAAAGTGCGATGCGAAAATTCACAGCGGGCTGTCTTTAACTGCCTTGAAAAGTGCTTTTCAAGTAACTTTTTAAACGCGATACGACAGTGCGTCTACTTTTCATCCAGTCGGCGTCTGCCACACCGATAACTTTGCGCCGGCTAAGGTGTATGCATTAGCTCAACGTTGAATTGATGAGATCGCGCAAGAGAAGTGGTACGTGAACCGTAGCTTCTGTGGTATTGCGCATACGATCAGACGAACACAGGATGTAAAGAAGTGCAAACGGAAAGTAAACAGTAAGAAAGTGTCTTTACTTCTTGTGTTCGTCCTATTCTATGCGCAACGTCACATACCATAGACGTGAACCAACAAGCCCAGCAAGAAGTTCTTGTTAAACCGTAGCTTACGGCATAAACTAACTATAGTTACTCGGAATGAACATTAACAGTGAAAGCAGCCACACAGTTAGTTCCTGTTGTGTTCGATGCAGAAAGTAAAAAAATGAAGAACAACAGTATGAGCTCACCACCAAGCTTTGCGAAACGCTAATAAGTCCAACAACGATGAAAATAATTTCTGTTGCCCGATACACAATACTGATACAAACGAAGAATTGCATGCGCCGGCCTCAGCTCGTCGGTTGCACGTCGCGATGGGTTCCAGCCGCCGACTACTTGGACGAAGACAGAAGGGGGACGAGGACCAGTCATGTGTCGTCTCCCCTTCTGACCTCGTCCAAATAGTGTGCGGCTGGAACACCTCGCTATGATACATACGACACAGTACATTAACATTGCAAATGACGTTAATAAGTGGTGAGGCCAGCGTTTGGCTGCTGCCTTCTCATGAAACTACTTAATTTATAGCACTCACATTAGGGTCGCAGATGGTACAGGACGCACCAATGAACAACAACAGCGCCCCAAGCCTCGAACACGAACACTAGGCAAATTCATACACTATCCATCATTCCAAGGGTAGCCGAAGGACTGCAATGCCAGAATCCGCTCCAGTAATTATGTTAAAAAACACTACGCTCAATATATATTATATATATATATATATATATATATATATATATATATATATATATAAAATGAAGTCTTGGTAGTCTTGGCTGCGACAGCGTTTATTTGAGGAAAGACATCGCAAAACGAACGGGCAGAGCCAGCACACAGACGATGACGATGATGAAGACCCTGAGTGGCAATGAGGGCAAAGAGACAAGCGAATGATGGTGATTGTGATTATGCAGGGATGAGGACGATGTAAGTTACAAATGCCCACACTAATTCCCCCCACTTGGAAGCGGACACCCTGGCCGCCGTAAGTCAAACTGACGGGGAACGTCGCGTGAAAGGTTTCATGCGACAAACGTGGACAATCTCTGTGCTGCGGTAGCGGCGGTCTGTTGGGGCGACGAGTGGTGTCACACGATAATTAACCGGCGAAGTCTGTTCTAAAACAATGTATGGCCCGATGAAGCGTGGTTGGAATTTGTCACAGAGACCAGGAGTGCGAATAGGTGTCAAAAGCAGCACCTCGTCACCAGGTTGGAAAGACACAACGCGGTGGGATTCGGCATAGGTGATCTTGCGCTCGTGCTGTCTCGCTTCAGTATTGATGCGAGCCTGATGGCGAGACTGGGCCAGGCGGAAAATGTATTCTTCGCTAGAAGACTGACATGAATTCCCATGGCTGCTAAAGAAGGAGACGTCGAGAAAGGTAGTCGGGGTGCGTCCGTACACGAGGTAAAACGGTGAGTAGCAAGTTGTTCGCTGAACGGCGGTGTTGTAAGCAAATGTCAGGAATAGTAAAAGAGTATCCCAGTTTTTGTGGTCGGGTTGGACGTAAACGGCTATCATGTCTGCAAGGGTTCGGTGAAATCTTTCTGTGAGACCATTTGTCTGAGGGTGGTAGCTTGAAGCAGTCTTGTGAGTAGTTCCAGAAGCGCGCAGTACTTCATTTACAACTTGTGACAGGAACACTTTGCCGCGGTTACTAAGCAGTACACGTGGAACCCCATGACGCAGTATTATTGCGTGAAGAATAAAGTCTGCAACTTCCACAGCTGAGCTTGTAATAACAGAGGAAGTCTCAGCGTAGCGTGTCAGGTGGTCCACGGCAGTCACTATCCATCGTTTGCCAGCAGATGTGACGAGGAGAGGCCCGTAAAGGTCAACACCTATACAACCTCGAACGGCATTGAAGGGCACGGAAGTGGCTGTAGAGGTCCAGCAGGTGCCGACGTGGGGAGTTTACGACGCTGGCATGGGTAGCAGGAACCGACGTACCGAGCTACACTAGAAGAAAGGCCAGGCCAGTAATAACGACATC